GGGGTTGGGGGTGCCCACCCCCGGACCCCCGCCAGGGCCCCGGGCCAGGGCTCGACAACCCTGGTCAGATGTGTTAATGGCTGTACATCTAACTAGTCAAAATAAAAAATAGTATCATTTGTGTGGCTGTTTGCAGAGTGGAATTTATCCCGAACTGATCACCTGAAACCTACCCCTCCCTCAGTTCTTCTTGATGTCACTTGACGTCGGCGTTCCTGATAGCGTGCGTGTCTAGAGGTGTGCACACGGCCCACCCCTGTGCCCCAAGTCAATGCGGAGCTGGCCAGCCCTGCACCATGTTTACCTTCGCGTGCAACGAGCCTTACACCGACCGATTGGCTGATCAAGAGGCAGTTTAAGGACGGTCCCCGAGGTCCTCAGGATTTATTTAATGTCGCAAACAGGACGACGATCACAGCCAGTGGAAGGTACCCCTCCGGTATTTATTTATAGACGTTCGGTACTTGTCTTCCCTGTAGGACTGGCCTGCCCCTCATGACTCATCTACAGCGCAGCAGGCAGACAAAGGACAAAGCAGCAAAGCATGCGTGCTCGTGACCGTGACCCAGTGCCTCGTCCAGGGCCCTTCAGATGACAACGCCCTGTCCTTCCAGATGCTCCACGTGAACAATGAGATCAGTTGGTACTCAAACTGCTTTTCTTGATCTGGAAGCGGGAACTACTTCTGGGACTGGGAACAACGCAGTGGACCCTATTATTCTAGACTAGATGGGAATGCCTATATTGTTTCTTCCGAGTGCTGGTTCATGAGTTTCTAGTCGTCGCGTGTTCGCTGGATTTCAGTGGTCATTGTGTGGATCTGTACTAACCAGGTTTTCTTGCAGGTTACAGGAGCCCCGATCGAGCCTCCCGTGGGTGACAGACACGGCGCGAGGCATAGGGTTCGGTCAGTGTGCCGACACAACCATCCAACCGGTCGACAGTGGCGCCGTTGCCGGTGAGGGCTGGCTCTCGGGACTTTGCTCCTTTGCTTGTCGCCGCAAAGGATCCCTCTCTTCTTCCAGCTCTCTCTTCACCGCCTCCCTCTCTGCCTGGGGTACCATCAATTCTGCCTCCTTACCTTCCCACAGGGATAAAGTATCTACCCATTCTTTGACTACCTTCTCCACCTCCTCTGGTGCAGCACTACTGGAACTTGCTTCCCCCCTTCTTCTCACCAAGGCCTCTTCTTCTTCGGGTTCCACTTCTTCCTCTTCTTCCTCTACTTCGGCCTCGACTGCGGCCAGCTTCTCCTCATGCTCCCTCTTCCACTTTTCCATTTCTTCTTCCATATGCCTCTTCTTGACCGCCTCCTCTTCCAACAGGGCTAACTTCTTGGCCTGCTTGATCAACTCCTTTTCCATTTTCTCCTTCTTCTCACGGAGAATAGTGGTGGCGCTCTCTTCCTGTGCTTTACTATAGGGGATGGTACTCGTTCCGGTCCGGGTGGTCACCATGTTGTCAAGGGCACAATTTCTGACAATTCCACTCCTCAACACGTAGACCTACCCACGTGACTCTCTAAAGGACTCACTGTCTTGGAAACTTTCCACAGTTGACGGATGCGAGCACCACTGTCACCGAAACTTTCCACAGCCGACGGATGCTTTCGCAACCACTGTCACCGAAACTTGCCACAGCCGACGGAAGTGCTTGCAACCACTGTCACCGAAACCCACCTGGCTTTTGCTTCAGATTGACGCTTTGTCAACTACTCGTCTTCTAGCCTCAACTACACTAGTCTGGCACTACAGGACTCACTGGCTGATCAGGAGGCATTTAAGGAGATCCCCCATAACTCCTCAAGAATTCCTTAACGTCGTAGACAGGACGACGATCACAGCCAAAGTCTGCTCAAGATGGAGACAGACTGGATACCCGCTCTGCAGCTCGGAGTTCAGGTATAGTGTGCCACCCAAAGCAACCTGCCGGTCTGTACCGGTCCTTGGGGTGTTTTCCCAGGTCATCTAGCGTCAGACACACCTCAACCCGTACTAAGTCCCGTGCGGACACTGGCTCACAGCCCCTATCTGACCACATGCATGGAGTCCTATGGACCTGGACAGAAGTGACTCGATGCAGAAGGAGATGACTGACTGACTCTCAGCAAGTACCAAGGTGAGTGCACATCCACAACGTAACAGGGGTAGGGCCAGGGCTTGAAGAGAGTATACCGCTCCTCGCTCCGCACTCCAGCTTGGTCAACGCTGGTCAACACTTGGTCAAAATTTGCCGGTCAACCCCCGGTCAACGCTGGTCAACTTGGTCAACGCCTCCCAGCTCCGGTCAACCTTGGCTATGGCGGCTCCTTCTCCCTTCTTCACTTTCACCAACTCGCCCTTCTTCTCCTTCACCCTCAAGTTTGGCTATGGCCGACTTCTCCTTACTCTTGTTGGCTATGACTTCCCTCACCTTCTTCACCTCTCTCTCTCTCCCTTGTCTACTTCTCTTTCGTCCAACTGCCTGTCTTCTTCTTCCTCCGAGCTTGGCGGCTATGGCCGCCATCCGCTATGGCGGACTGTCTCTTCTTCTTCGCGGGGATCCCCCTTCTTTCTCCTTCCCTCTCTCTCTGCCGCTCTCCAGCTATGGCGGCCTTCCTCCTCTTTGCAGCTCTGTCGCTATGGCATGGACAATGGGTACCCGCTCTGATACCAGTGAAATCAGACTTGACTCAATCTTGCTTGCAACATGCATACACGTATGTGCCAATGAATAACCAACTTCAACTCAGAAACAGCAATGAACTTGCACTGGCGACAAGCGCCCACACAGAAAACTCAGAGATACGTCCTCGAGCCGGAAACTCGGCTCAAGTCAACTGTTACCATTTGCGGCTATGGCCGCTGAACAGTGTCTGAAGTCCCAGCAGAACACGGTCTCCACCATCAGCCTCACTATCACTCATGCATACACACACGAAGATCCACCCTCAATGTCCACGCAGTACACACACACACTGTACACTCTGTTAATGTCAGCAGCGTGGCGGCTATGGCCGCCGTTGTCTTCCTCCTCTTAGCTATGGCCGCCGTCGTCTTCCTCAGCCCACTTCGGCTTCGGGCACCTGCGGACCTCCACTGCGCAAGTCACTCCAGCAGCACTTCCGCATGGCTCACAGACGAATGAATGAATGGCTGTACGCTGCCTCTTTATTTATACTGTGTCGCAGGTGATCGGGCCTGCCCCAGCCCTGGGCCAAAACGTGTGGGCCTGAAAGGCCCAAACTCCGTGGGCCTGGAGGGCCCAAACCGCATAGGCCTGGGCCCCCAAATGTGTGGGCCTGAAGGTCCCAAACCGCGTGGAACCCCACTTGGTACTTGCTGACTGGACGAGGTGGACTGTACTGCTGCCTGACAAAACGCGGTAGACAGACCTACGGCATTATAGAACCTACTGACTGACTCACTACGGACTGCCCCTTACACTAATGAAGAGCCAGGTAGAGACTTCCAGAAGGACGCTAACTAAGACTAACGGTAACATACTAAACTCCTAGTACGAAGGTCTACGGATCAAGACCTAACGACTGACTAACACACAGACTAAGTGGGGTTTAGGGACAGGTCGTGGGTTCAAATCTCACATAAAGGGTCAATGTACACAGGGTTACGAGGTAGGTCTAGGGATCGAGTCCTAATGTCTGCATCTGTTGGGTAAACTGGGTGAAACCGTTTCAACTCTCTCTGTGCGTGTTTGTGTGCGTGTGTTTGTCCCGCTCTCTCTCGGTGAAGAGGGAGAGAGCAATAGTCAGCCCCCCCTGTCCTCCGTTGTCCTACCTCTCCCTCCCTCCCTCCGTCTCTTCTCCCCTCCGTCCTTCCCTCCATCCCTCCTCACCTCCCTTCCTCCCTCTCCTCCCTCCCTCCCTTCCTCCCTTTCCTCCCTTTCCTCCCTTTCCTCCCTTTCCTCCCTTTCCTCCCCCGTCCTGTTCATGTCTATGTTGAATGGCGATGGCCTACCATTTTTCCGTTTTCCAGTAAGAAGGATATTTTGTTGCTGGTCCCCATTTTTGTGAGGAGCATCACTCCTCGACATTAGTTCTTTCACTATGTTGTGTGCTTATCTTCATGATGTGGTGCTCTTTTGTTTTCTTTTGGAATGTTGTGTTGCTTTCGGATGACGCCTCGGTGGTTTACTGTTGTTGCGGGGTTGGCAGTGGTGCTTGTGCGCTGATGTCGGGGTGCCCTTTTTTGTTTTTGTTTTTTGTGGGCCTTCAGGTCCAGGTTGTCCCTGTGGACAGTGATAAGACGGGCAGGATTCGTCCGAAGCAGTTGGGCGGAGAGCCCGTGAAACTTCTGTCGAGGGTGGAGCAGTTGCGGCTTCTGTCAAAGGCGGAGAAAGCAGGGCTGCTGTCGGCGGCAGAGAGGCTTGGATTCTCCCTGTCAAACATTGAAAGGCTGGGACTCTTATCCAAGGTAAGGAGGCATGCATGCATGCACATTGACTTAACAACGCCTGACAAGTATAGAGTCAGTAGTTCAAATCTACTTAGGCCCACTCTGCTCTGCTGGCGAGCTGGGCTTGCAAGATCGTTTTCCTCACATGTCAGCGCACCACGAAATAGAAAAAAGCGGATTGATGGCAGAAATAACGTACTTGCTTTGTGTACATGCATGCATGTTGACGTAACACTTGCTGTACATGCATGCAGGTCGTCATAATGGCAACACTTGCATATTACGTGAACGACCGTGCACGGTGACGTAAGGGTTGCTGTGCATGCACGCATGTTGACGAAACAGTTGCATGTTACGTCAACATGTTGTGACCAACCATGCATGCATGCATGCTGACCTAACCATTTGTCTTTTTTTTCCAATGAACTCCGGTGCTGGGACCCACTTAAGGAGGTGATAAGAGCTTGTTGAGTGGGTCTTGCGGTGAAGGCTCTGCATTGAACCACATTGTTCGTCACCTTGAGCACATACACACAATGATAGATCACACGAAATCCACACTGGAGTTTAGTGATGCAAAGTCCAGATTAGCGCAGCTTGGAAATTCCAACGAATTAAAAAAAAAAAAAACTAATAATAATACTAATAATAATAAACAGTTTCGGAGAGTTCCAGTCACCAAGCGCTCAACAGCGCAGAGTCCAGCAACCCATACCCAGCAACCTCGTCCAGGTAGGTGACTCTCTCTGTCCGTCTTTCTTCTTCTCTCTCTCTCTCTCTCTCTCTCTCTCTCTCTCTCTCTCTCTCTCTCTCTCTCTCTCTCTCTCTCTCTCTCTCCNTCTCTCTCTCTCTCTCTCTCTCTCCATGAAGATCTTGACTCTGGATACATCCGCTACTACTCAGCTCTACCTCCTACTACTACCTGTGCGGCTATGGCTGCCTTCCTTCCGCAGCACAAGCGCCTCAGCAGCACTTCCACACTTCTTGCGAATGAGCAATCTGCCCGAAATGAGGCTGGACAGTCCTTATATTGACTTGGACTGAGCCTTGACTCGTCCCAGCCTCTGGTTCTCTTGGCTTGACTGGACCCGGTACTGGCTGCCCGCAGCCTGGTTGCTTCAGAATGTTGATGCCCGGTACCTCCCTCAATTTCCATGGTGTGCTGCTGCTTTTCAGTCTGTGTGACGTGACCTTTGACTCTGGGTCGTGACCCTTGCCTGTGGGCTATGACCTCTGACTGAGAGATGTGAATTTTGCCAATTGGATGTGACTTCTGCCTCTTGGATGCGACTGTTGACCAGGTACTGTTGGACTTGACCTTTTGGGTACCCGACGTAACCTTTCTGAGACTGGCCGACCTGACCTCTCTCGGCCTAGGGATTTTGACCCTGAGAATCGAATTTGGGGTCTGCATTGTGGAATGCCTTTCAGCTCCATCACACCCTCCCGGAGCAGCACCTGCTGGAAAGCGGGTCCAGTGTCCCAGTGTAAAACATCGAAAGTTAAAACCCCACGTCGGGAGGTATCACCACATGTTGACGGAATCTTTTTGAGGGTGAATGGATGTAACGGCCTGCGTGGTCAGTCACAGTGCTGCATGCCATTTGTGTTCCATAAAGGGGAACAAAAAGGGGGAAAAAAAAAGCCGTAGGAAAGGGACGATTTAAAGAAAAAATCTTATGCTCCCCACAATTCCCATGCTGTTTTATTTTCACTACTACGTAGGTAATTTATGTGATAACACTGATAAGCTTAAATCAGTTTGACCTCAATTCCCTATGTAGCAATAGCTTGCAATGCTACATGACTTTCTTCTTTTTTCTCTTTCTCAGGCAAAAGGGCAAGGTTCCCCTGGAAAAGCGGATTGGAATAACCGTCTGAATCTGGACGTGTTTGTGAAGCAGTGCACAATATTGCCATTGATCTGCTTTTCTGCATCTCTATGCCACGTCCAGATTCCGACTTATTTCAATCCTCATTGCCACTTGGATTCCACCCTCAATTTTCTCCTTCTTCTTTTCCTTTCTTTTTTTCATTTTTTTTCCTTTCGAGGGCAACGACATTCAGGTGTCATCATCAAACTAAATGGCCCCAGGCAATTATTCGGACTGCCTCCATTTTTTTTTCATTTTGCTGAAACTGAGCAAGATCGAAATGACAGAATTCCAAATTGCAACATCACATAGAAAGTCAGATAGTCGTGAGCTGTCCAGAAAGCAGAAATGCACCAATACTGCACCAAAGGAGACCAAAACAACAAACTCAATTGTCAACGTCATGAAATTGCAACATCACATAGAAAGCTAGATAGTCGAGAGCTGTCCGAACGCAGAAATGCACCAATACTGCACCAGAGGAGACCAAAACAATGAGCTCAATTGTCAACGTCAACAATGAACTCGATTTCTCTTCTCCTACTTGGCGCTCAGCGCCCGGACTACTATCACACAGCTCCTATACTAGCCTATGCTAATGACAACACAACTGGAAGACTTCAGCAGCAGAAACCAAAGTACGTGCAGATGTCGCCCATGCAGACCTCCACGATGAACCAGGTAGGTGCCCTCTCTCTCCCTCTCTCAACTCACCCTCGTCTTCCTCCACATCCTTGTCCTCAACCTGAAGACCACCAAGCCCTGCTGACCTCTGGATACCAAGCCCGGCTATGGCTGGTATCTGGCGCTGCCTCCAGCAGCGCCCTGCTTGCCCACCTGCAGCGGCATGCTCCTGGGCTCTTCTTCCAGTGGCCTCTAAGCGCTCATATCAGCAGTGCTGCTGCACGACATGCAAGTGCCCGAATAAATGAGAGGCAGCCGGGCCTGTACAGGCAGCCTGGGTCTAGCGACCTTCTGCCCAATAGCTTCAAGTTGGGCCAAAGTTTCTGCGCCCGGGCTCAATTCAGAGAGGGACCGAAACAGTTAGGCGCGCCCAAGTGTACGGCGTGGCCTGTCTCACTCGCTGCGTCCTGAGTGGCCGGAAGGCCTTTTTCCATGTCGTGCCTGGAAAAGCCTAGAAGGCTCATGATTCCACAGGGCCCTTCAACCAACTGAGCCCAGTAACTGTATGGTGCCCCCAAAGGTCCTGAAAATGTCAAGTTTAGGCCTCTTGGAGAAATGCAGGCCCACCTTCAGCTACATTGCTTTCGGTGGGGCCCTTTATGAACCTGTGGAGAGTGGGGCCCTTTATGAACTTGTGGAGGATGAAAATCCTCGCACTCCCTCCTCCATTACTTAGCCAGTCCTCTGAGAAGTCCTTAACCAGCCAGCTGTTTACCCTTCAATCTCCTTTCATATCTGCAACAACCTGTGGAGCAGTCTTCCCTTGTGAACCATTTGCCCTCCTTGGGATAAACATGGTGCCTGAACCGTACACGATACTGCATCTGCGGTTTCGGGGGTCGTCCTCCTTGTGGAGGCTTCAGCACTGCTATCATCTTATGCTCAATGATGTCAATGTTGAAATAAGACTGCAACTCGAACTTGCTTGCAACATGCATACATGAGCGAACTGATGGAAAACCAACGTCTTCAACTTAGAATCAATAACGAAGTTGCACTGGCGCCTTGCGCCCACACAGAAAACTCAGAGATATGTCATCCACTCAAAACTTGGGTCAAACCAACTGTACAACTTGCGGCTATGGCCGCAGAACACTGTCTCCACCACCAGCCTCACTGTCTCTCGTGCACGCACATACGAGGATCCACCCTGAATGTCCACTCTCTACACACACACACACCGTACACTAAGATGACGTCGACGGCTGGGCGGCTATGGGCGCCGTCGTCTTCCTCGTCCTAGCCATGGCTGTCTTCGTCTCCCTCAGCCAGCTATGGCGGTCGTCTTCGTCCTCGCCCACTTCAACTTCGGGCACCTGCAGACCTCCGCACAAGTCGCTGATGCAGCGCTTCCTCATGGCTCACGGGCAGAATGAATGAATGAATGGCTGTCCGCTGCCTCTTTATTTATACTTTTCTGCAGGTGGCCTGGCCCTGCCCCAAACCGCGTGGGCTTCACAACTGTCTGTTGGGCAGAGCGTTGCTCATCCTGTTGATGGAAATGTCTCTCTCTCTCTCTCTCTCTCTCTCTCTCTCTCTCTCTCTCTCTCTCTCTCTCTCTCTCTCTCTCTCTCTCTCTCTCTCTCTCT